GGCCTTGGGAAGAAAGCATCACACGCAATTTCCTGGAATGACCGCAGCACTAACCACCAACAGTACCTATAAGAGGACACAACTACACCTTGACATGGCAGCAGCAACGCGGAAGCAAAGCAACGCAAGATTGAAGACAGCATCGCTCGTTACATCGTCTACTTTAAATTTCAAGTCTTACCACAATCTTCTCATTGATTCAGGCGCGCCTACCCATGTTTGTCCAAAGACTACGCGCAGATCCACCAGGATCTTGTGGAGAGTCAGTTCCACAACTCTACATCGTGACCAACAAGAAGATTCCTGTCTGCGACACCAAGTACGTCTGCAAGCAGGGCAACTTGAGGGTCATGATGCCCCACAGCGTTTCGCATCAAGACAACTCGATAGGTTATGGACTTGACTTCGACCCACGTCGCTGCACTATCACACACGGACAACAGAAAGCACCCCTGATCAGACAAGGAGACCTTTTCTTCCGACGAGCATTGGACATGCCTAAAGGACACGACATCCACCCAATGGCTACAGTTCCATCGCAGCAATACAACCCACTAAAAACGCGACAAAACAGGAAGAACGCATTGCACCACCAACACACACACAGACCAAGGACTAAAATGCCTTGGCGGAACACTGACTACTGGCAACTCGATGGTGGCTACGCCGTTCGAGTCCACAAGCGACCATGCAGAGCGCAGCGCTCTTCACCTCGACAAGCGCTACCACGCACGAAAGAAGCACGGCGTCCAACCAGAGCTCAAAAGAACTAAAAACGAGACTGCAATCAGAAAAGCTGAAGAAACTATCAAAGAACCACAACGACAACGAATCAACGCATTAACGCCATTCGACACTTCCAAAGACCAACCCATAGTCTCGACAACGATCGTTTCGACGAGAAACTACTGAAAGAAGGAATGCAGCACAAGTCGGATCAAATAAAACTGCGTGACGTCTACGACGAAGTGGACACTTCTGCACACTTCACGCCGGCAACGTGAAAGAAGCAAGCCCTACACGATGGGTCCACCGCAAGAAAGGACCTGGCGCACGCAGTCGAATCTCGCAACGGGCTACACCAAGAAGATCGAGGACGAGGACTCCTTCTACGCCTCTACACCAATGTTCGGCCGCTTCTAGCTCTACACATTTCACGACCAAATTGGGTTACAAGACTTGGTGATGCTTCCACAGCATCCCTAGGCAACGAAAGCAATCAACGCGACGTCTAGAATTGCCTAGAGAATTATGTCCACAACAACACAAACTATGGCGACTAAAGAAAGCCATGTATGGACTACGAAGTTCACCTAAGGCTTGGCAAGACTACCTAGCTGAGGTACTACACAAGCTCGGGTTGGTGGAACCAAACGTCTACTCCAGCGCAGCTAGGGACTGCTACATCATGGTCTACGTGGACGACCTGTTGGTACTTCGCGTCAAGACTATGGCCGAC